ATACTGAAAAACATCTTTCTTTCTTATTTATATTTATTTTTGTAAATCAAGGTGTCAAATAGATGACAAACCATGGCATGATTAAGGCTAGCTCTGCAATTAGTGAAGAACATCACATCACGCAAAAGTATAATACCTACCAGATAACGGAAAAGTTGCTACCATATAATCGTGAGAGTTATCAGTTTTTTTCATTTGCTCATCACGCCCCATGTACAGACAAAATGCCACACTCTTGGGTTCAAAGCCATAGTGCATACAGTTGATGGGTGACAGGTGGCTACATACATTTTTCATTTACCGTCTGACCTGCCTGGAGTTTCACATAACAAAGCATGTAGTATTAAATGAGATGCAAGGTTATTTCTGGCTACACTGAAGTATGATTCATATATTCTTAGAATTGCTACTGAATGAATAATTTCAAAATCTTAAAAACGTAGCATTTTAGTTTAAACTAACAAATACTACTTCTGTGAGGATTCATTCAGGAGGCAACTCTAGCCTCAACGGTAGCCTCAGCAGGAGTATCAATGCAAGTAAGTTACAAGACCTAAAAGCAAATGATGTTCCTTTTTTATATATTGCAGCAGTTTATTAAGGATTTCAATCATTTTTCTCCATCACATTCGTGAAGAGTAGGTATTGGGGTTAGGCAACCAAAATCATCATTTCAGCCAGCAACAGGAGATTACATTAATGCGCTAAACCTATGGACCACTGCAGGTAAATTGTTTCAGGGCAGATAAAATGCTGAAGACAGTAGCTATTAGTTAATGAAGCCCCATACTGTTGGTTCCATTATTACCACTGACAGTGTGCAAAATATGCTTTTAGAGGTTAATTAAATGTAGTACTTTTGATGCCTTGAATGCTGATGAGGTAAATGTGATTTAAAAACCATCCCCAAAGCCATCAATCAGCTATAGATTCTTGCCAAGAGTAAAGTTATCATACTGACCACCCTCTGTAAGTCAACAAAAAAAAAAAAACATCTGACCTTTAAGCTCTATTGAACTGTTTCTAGTACCACAAATCCACTGAGCATCAAGTTCCTACCAATGGTTATAGAGGTAAGTTCTGAATGATAATAAACTTTTCTTTTCACTGTGCACATAGATTTCCAAACAAATAGGTGTTTATTGAAGAAACTGACTAGTTTAGCTTATGCTGGTGACTGCTGGCTCCAGTGCAAGCCATGGATTCTGCAGAGATGCAATGGCCAGTGAGGAGAATAAATCCAGATTGAGTGGGCTGGTTGGAAGTGCTGTGTGGATCACGTAGTGTTGATCATCACTTCTGTTGGTGGTTCACTGTGGCTTTTATCTCTTTTACATTAGCTACAGCTCAATCCTTATGTGGGTGGCGCTTGATTGCTAGGCAGCATATGGTCCCCTTAGCATCAGATCATTCCACTACATGCTTAAGCAACTGCGCGTCCCTGCCCCCAACCTCTCCTTGCGGCTGAGAAGAATACATCTGACAAGCCATAGGTTGCCACAGTGCCTGCAGGACGTGCATGTCCTGACAATCCACGGTCTGATAGTTGAGATTGCTGCAGGGCAAATCTAACAAGGTAAGCATACACAGGAAAAAATGTTTCCTCTGACAAAGTAAAGAACCCCCCAGTTACTGCTGCCCCCAAGTAATGAGATGCTGCTCTTAATAGCTGGTTTTTGTGTGTGATTTATGAATTCCTTTCTATTTACAGATGCAAATTTTCTGCGCTAATTTATGCAGAATTAAAGTCAGGGATGATGTAGGCCCCTTAGAGTTGTTTAGCAATTGTATGAGTAACACTCACTTCTAATAACCCAGTTTCCAAATATCCTCTTTGCAATAATGCAAACATGTTCCTAGGCCCGGGCTGGTGAAGTGTCAGATCAGGAAATTTCATTTATTTCTTTACAATAAAAAAAGAAACAGCAATAACTCTACCAACAGACTGGACAACAGTTCCTTTTATGTACTTGCAAGCAAGGGACTCAAACCACCGCAATCACACCTCTTGTGTTTTCAATGAGAAGAAGAACGAGCAGCAAAACCAGTGAATGAGATCTCTACATACGCACAATGTTGTTTTTGTGGTTTGTTACCTAGACCGCAGCACTACAAATAAAAAACACAAAATAAAAAATTTTGCTGAATAAACATTTTACAAATATCCATGGGCATGATATACACCAGGTGTTTACAATCTTTTTTTTTTTTTTAAACACTGTTGCGGTCATACAGTCAGGATTATTATAAATGCATGCTTAATTAAACTAAACATGTGCAACACGGTCATATTCAAACCAAAGCTTCTGCATGCAAATGCAATCTATAAACAGCGACTGCTGTTTACAATGATGTGTATAAATGCAGAGTCTCAACATGACAACATGAAAATTGCAGACAAAATGAGAGCAGGAATGACTTCATTGGCTTATACACCGCTCTGAATTCACAGTCATACCAAATCTCTGCTTTTTTCCCCCCTTTTTAAATTACATTAGACACTGGCATCAACATGGTCACAAAGTTTTACTTGGTCACAATAATCCCACCTCTAGTGTTTGACACGAGTAGTTCTCAGTTGTAAAGCTGCAAAAGTGTTGATACCGCCTTGATAAAGTTCTAATGGCGAGATCCTGCTGTCATTATGTGACAAATTGCTTCGAGATTAGGCACTGGCTCCGGACCAACCCTCATACCGCCTTAGTGAAAAGAGAATGTAGAATTGGTGATTTTACATCAGCGAGAATATACAGAAGTGAGGTTTTGCTTCTCTAATCTTGATTATCAGGAAGAATATGCACCTGGTGAGTACATACTACGTCAGGTAGCAATGCAGTGGCAAATGGGAATGTACTTACACAATAGCCTTCCCAAAATTGAATTTTCTAAGTCAATATGCATAACACAGATTAAAGAAGGGGGGAGGTCTAATAATAACCAAGTCATGACAAACTATCTGACTTTGTTTAACATTTTATAGAAGAAAAAGATAAAGAAAATGTTAACACTGTTTCTAATAACCGTTTACTTTTCAGATGTCATAAGTGTTAGCATGAACTAACATGTTAGCATGTTGTTAGTATAACCCAATTAAGAATTAATATTTTAATTTTTCCTTTTCCAGGCAATAAGAAAACAGGAAATTCTCCCTCCCTAGACAGATTATAAATAAGACCAATAGCTAGTGTTGATGTGGTTGATACTGCTTATTTTATATCATGGGTGAACTGTCAATAAATACGGTCTGCAGTCATTCTGTAGTGTACATGAGGCTTTTGGGACAACATTTGGGTTAGAGGTTATATATGGGGCTTAGCCTTGAATATGCAAAGGTCAGCCTATTTAATGACCAATCACTGCTCTTATTCCTGGTACTTACCTCAACCTGAAGAAGACGAAGCATTTTCAGTTATTGTCCCAAATCTGGATTTTTCAAAGCCATCGAAGGACCCACCTTCATCCCCCTTAGCCTCCTCTTTCCCTATATCAGCCTATGCTTACACAATTTATTTACTTATGTACTACTACTACTACTAATTAACTACTTCTCTTATTAAAATAGGAATTTATTTAATCATTCTTAAGTTTATAATTGCTCTGTAAAGCAGAGGTGTCATACTCACTTTTTTTCATGGGCCCAATCTGATCTCAAGTGGGCCAGACCAGTAAAACTATTGCATAATAGCCTGTATGAAAAACACCCCTTTAAATGTCTCCTCTCTTTTATAAGTGCAAAGAACTACAAGCAGCTTCTTCAAATGTTCATTTTTTCACATTCGATGAACCATCAATTGTAAAATGAAGGTGTAATTAAGATAAATACGTAAAAACAAATGAATTTCAACACATCCATTTTACTATATTTGGCAGGTCCAACCGTCATTACATGTACATTACAATTCACAGATCACAGTGGATCTAAAATAGGCACAAAACTCTTACATGTCCAGTTTTTGTAAATAGACAAAAAAAATAGCATTTTATGCATTTACAATTGTAAAAATTTGGCTATATCTAAAAATACTTCCACTATTTTGCATACATGATTTCTCCTGTGTAGTAATGCTGGCATCACGTCGCCAGACCAAGAACTGCAGTGCATTTTATTGAAATAAAGAGAGTAATTAATGTCTTTGCAAAGCTATCTGGTGGGTGGAATTGGACCCTCTAGTTGGCTGCTTTTGGTCCTCGGGCCACATGTTTAACAACCCTACTGTAAAAAGCATTTGGGTTACAGTTTTTAGAAGCAAGTC